GATGTGGTATATATATACAATGGAATATTATGCAGCCATCAAAAGGAATGAGATCTTGCCATTTGCAATGACGTGGATGGAACTGGAGGGTATTATTTTGAGTGAAATAAGTCAAAAAGAGAAAGACATGTATCATATGATCTCACTGATATGAGGAATTCTTAATCGCAGGAGTCAAACTGAGGGTTGTTGGAGTGGGGGGTGGGGTGGGAGGGATGGGGTGACTGGGTGATAGACACTGGGGAAGGTATGTGCTCTGGTAAGCGCTGTGAATTGTGCAAGACTGTTGAATCTCAGATCTGTACCTCTGAAACAAATAATGCAATATATGTTAAGAAAAAAAGAAGAAGAAGAAGAAGAAGAAGGTAGTGGGAGGGGAAGAATGAAGCGGGGGAAATCGGAGGGGTAGACGAACCATGAGAGACGATGGACTCTGAAAAACAAACAGGGTTCTAGAGGGGAGGGGGGTGGGAGGATGGGTTAGCCTGGTGGTGGGTATTGAGGAGGGCACATTCTGCATGGAGCACTGGGTGTTGTGCACAAACAATGAATCATGGAACACTTCATCTAAAACTAATGATGTAATGTATGGGGATTAACATAAGAATAAAAAAAAAAAGAGTAAATACAAAGAGGGGGTTTATGGAGGGCTGACACAGGTAAAATGATGATGTAAATGGAAGTTGATGACTTGTTACCTGAGCAAGCAACTTGTGGAAAGAAGATTAAAGAAGAAAATCATGGAAGTTGGAATAGGAATAATGATCAGAGACTTCTGATTGAAAACTAGAGGGGAGAGAGGGGAGGGGGGTGGGAGGATGGGTTAGCCTGGTGATGGGTATTAAAGAGGGCACGTTCTGCATGGAGCACTGGGTGTTATACACAAACAATGAATCATGGAACACTACATCAAAAACTAATGATATAATGTATGGTGATTAACGTAACAATAAAAAATCAAAAAATAAATAATAAAAACATGAGAATATGCTCAAGATATGATGTTAAATTAAAACAGAAAAAAAAAAAAAGAAAGAAAAAGAAAACTAGAGGGGGGGAAAGAAACCTTGAGAGGTTAAGACAAATGCCAAGCCAAACCAAGCAAATCAACCCGGCTAAGTTTCTTATTATGGAACTTGTATCTAAATGGTTTATTATCCAACATTGCTTTCTTTAACAGTTCAGTTTAGCATAAAGTAGTCCTGAACTGAGCTTAATGGGGAGCTCCAGCTGAAAGTGTCATAATATAAAAGTTGTTTACAAGCCTGGTGTTATTTAGTAGTTAATCTTCAAATTGTCTTTGTAAGAAGTGTAAACTAATACAATTACAATTAAAGTCTACACTATGATGAATACCTGTCAAATAAACTTGATTTTCCAAAATCCTGGAAAATGTAGGAGAATTTTGAAATTTATAATCAAATAGCCTTTTACTGCTGAAGAGGTGAGAGATTATAAATTTATGGAGCTATGAACCAGGATGTTAGAATTTATCTCATATATAGTTTGAGCTTAAGATAATATTGTTAATGTGGAATTTGTAGCTTGCATGAAATATTACTAAATCATAGGTTGCTGCACACATTTTAGAATTATGGTTGCCCTCCGATGTTTATAGCAGCAATGTCCACAATAGCCAAACTGTGGAAAGAGCCAAGATGTCCATCGACAAATGAATGGATAAAGAAGAGGTGGTATATATATACAATGGAATATTATGCAGCCATCAAAAGGAATGAGATCTTGCCATTTGCAACGACGTGGATGGAACTGGAGGGTATTATGCTGAGCGAAATAAGTCAAACAGAGAAAGACATGTATCATATGACCTGACTGATATGAGGAATTCTTAATCTCAGGAAACAAACTGAGGGTTGCTGGAGTGGGGGGTGGGGTGGGAGGGATGGGGTGACTGGGTGATAGACACTAGGGAGGGTATGTGCTCTGGTAAGCACTGTGAATTGTGCAAGACTGTTGAATCTCAGATCTGTACCTCTGAAACAAATAATGTAATATATGTTAAGAAAAAAAAAAAAGAAGATAGCAGGAGGGGAAGAATGAAGAGGGGGAAATCGGAGGGGGAGACGAACCGTGAGAGATGATGGACTCTGAAAAACAAACTAAGGGTTCTAGAGGGGAGGGGGGTGGGAGGATGGGTTAGCTTGGTGGTGGGTATTAAAGAGGGCATGTTCTGCATGGAGCACGGGGTGTTATGCACGAACAATGAATCATGGAACACTACATCTAAAACTAATGATGTATGGTGATTAACATAACAATAAAAAATTAAAAAAAAAAAAAGAATTATGGTTGCCCTAAGAAGTAAATTGTCATTTATGGAGACCACAAAAAAGAGAACATAGAAAAACCCAAGCTAAAGCAACAGAATAGAACAAGATTTTTTTTTTTTTTTTTTTATGAAATAACAAGCATATACATTCACGGATATCCTAAAACAAATGGACTAAATTGACTTTAGACTATAATGACTCTTCAAGGGAATTGGTTGTGAAAGAGAGCAGAGCAGAGGAGAATCTCAGAAGATGCCTGAAAATTCTCTCCCCTGAGAACTAAGAGGGTGTTTCTACCACCGGTTCTCACTCTTGTCTGCACATGGGATCCCCTAGGGGATGGGGGTGGGGATACCATAGCCTCGAACCTAATCCAATGAAGCTGGGGTATGGTTGGACTTCAGGCCTTTTTAAATCTTTTTTTTTTTCAAGATTTTATTTATTTATTTGACAGAGAGAGACAGCGAGAGAGGGAACCCAAGCAGGGGGAGTGGGAGAGGGAGAAGCAGGCCTCCCACTGAGCAGGGATCCCGATGTGGGGCTCGATCCCAGGACCCCGGGACCATGACCCGAGCTGAAGGCAGACGCCTAACGATTGAGCCACCCAGGCGCCCCCTTCTTAAATCTTTTGAAAGTCATTTAAACTCTTATAATAGTTTAAGGGTAGGTGGGGAAGTTCGGGAAGCTAAGGGGAATTTAAGGGTGTGAGAAAACTTCAGCTTAAACAACTAATCACTAGGTTTGGTTAATTTATAGAATGAAGTTGCTTCATTTAAAATTATTAAAGGAACTCAACTATATTAAACAGTAAAAGAAAGTTTAAGTACTGAGAAATTTCTGGTTTTAGCTTCAGTTTTTTTCCTGAGCACTTTTCCACTTTCCTGATCCAAGCCTTAGAAAAGTATACCATTATTTTTTTTTCGAATATAGTAATTTTTTTCTGAATAGCTTGCCAATAAAGAGAGTGAACCAGAAGGTAGTCATTTATCAATGCCCACATGACCTTTAAAGATTTATAAGGCACACAAACATGTTCAGTATTGCCTTGTATATTGAGTGATAAAATAACCAAGGTAATCCATAAACAATGAACTATACAATTTTATATCATATTTCCCTGGAGCCTGATACTAACTGTATTTTAAGCCTCTAAATAATGTAGCCCAAGATTGACAAACAGTATTCATGTAATACATTTTTAATACATAAATTAATCAATAAAACAAAGTGTAAGACTCAAAATTTTAAATGAATTTTAGGACAAAATTATAGTAGCCCACTAAGTATGTTTCAAGTGGCTAGTATAATATCAAATAGATAAACCCTATAAATGATAAACAGTTTACCTATTTAAAATACATAGAACTGAGGTATGATTAGAGTAAGGGTAAAACCAAATTATCTACTTTTCTGCCAAGGGTTAATTATATAATTAAATTTTATTTTATCCCTTGGGTTCAGTCATTAACAATGAAGCATTCTTCTGATATTCTAACAGACTTTGAAACAAAGTACTATCTGTTAAGTTATTATTGAAGTGGAGAAGCAGGGATCAGAAACTGATTACTAGTGATTCAATAGGCAAGTTAGATCAATGTATCAAGAAAATGAGCTGCTTGCTAGAAATAAGGAGCTGATTGATATCAGTTGTTCTGGACACAAAGCAGAGTTATTTGTGTAATAAGGTAGGATTGATGGAGCGCTCTTCTTCAGAATTTACTTGGAGTTCTATAAATCAGCAAGGTGAAGCAATTTATCCTACCAAGCTGAAAATAATTATTATGCCCCCCCAAATTTTTTATCTTTACTTTTACTCACTATTCACATATTTTTGAAGCTCTTGCATGCAAATCACCACTCAGCATGCAGTGCCAAGATCCCTTTGCCTCAGAAACAGGGCTCAATGTAGAGCTGGGGATTTAGGATTAAAGACGAGAGATTAGCAGGAAATTATGTGAAAGAAATCACACCACATAGATGAGGCTAAAGTCAATCAGGAATAGAGTTTAGTTTGCTACAAAAATACACTGGGGGGTGACTAGGGGACTCAGTGAGTTAAGCGTCTGCCTTCAGCTCAGATCAGGATCCTGGGGTCCTGGGATTGAGCCCCGCATCAGGCTCCCTGCCTAGCGAGGAGCCTACTTCTCCCTCTGCCCCTCCACCCCTGCTTGTGCTCTCTCTCTCTAATGAATAAACAAAAATCTTTAAAAAAAAAAAAAGTTTCTCCCTCTTTCTCTGTCCCTCTCCATCCCCGTGCTCTCCCTCCCTCTCTAAAATAAACAAATCTTACAAAAGAAAAAAGACTATAAGAGACTACCTTAAAAAAAGACAAAGAACAACACTGGAACACTAGAGATGATCCTAGCTAAACGCTTTGAAACTTTTCCTCCAGTAATCCCTCCAAGAGTTTCCTTAATATTTCTTTTCCCTATTTGCCACATAGTCCGAGTTTGGTGTTTGAATTCTCAGTATCACTACTAGGCTACTTCATAGAGTGGTCTCAAAAGTCAAACCTCCCCATTCACAGAGCCCACAGCTCGAGCCTGCTACTTCCAAGCCTTTTTATAACTTCCTGCAATAATCCCAGAGTAACCAGAGGACGTGGGTTTTTCCCTTCTCCAAACCACCTGCGCGCCTCACCTCTCCTTGCCCCTGTAGCCTGCAGAAGGTAGAGCAAGACAGAAAGTGGATTCACCAGTTGCTACTTACAAGAAACTGAGGTCCATGCACCAAGAAGCCATGTGGGACGGGAGGCAGAACAACTGAATTTAGAGCAGCCTTGAGGCTCAACCTCTGCCTCTCGTTTGCTTGGCATCCTCTTGTGTCTCTTCCCTGGCCAAGAAAACAAGAACAAAAAACAAAACCCAGAATCATCCTTCCTCCCAGGGCACTGAAGAGATAAAGATGATACAGGTAGAGTGCTTTACACCCTTCTAAACAGTGCTCAACAAATGGTAGTGATGAGTTCATTTTAACTATTTAAACCTGTGTCAAGGGGCCTAACCGTACTGTGAGGAAGAGGGAAGGGAAAAGATGAGGCCATCTGAGCCCCAAAGATAGGCCTGTTCAGAGGGTTCTGATTTGGACTCATCCCCATTCAAATAGGGCAGGAGCTGTGTATGTATTCTCTCCCTAGATTCAAGTACATAGCCAGCATTCAATTGTTGAATGTGTTAATTTGAAAACCAGTGGTCTAATGAAAACATAGCCCAAGGTGAAATTAAGGCCCCAGTCATAGATCTGATGCTAATATTTGAGCAAGGTATTTAACTCCATCTTGCCTTAGTTTATCTGCTGATGGGAATTAATAATGCTTGTCTCTGCTTCGCCAAGAGTCATAAGGAAAAATGAGAAACAAGCATACCTGCTGTAGAGTAGAAATGGAAACAAAGACATTCAAATTATATTTTATTTTCTTTCTATGAAAACATTATTCAGTAAAACAAGTATAATAATACCCCTCACGGGGTTACTTTGAGAATTAGAAATAATACATGTATAACTCTTGCACAGTGACTGACATAAAATAAGAGATTGATAAATTATAGCTATTTTTCTTATTGCTATTACTGAGGGACTTTAAAGTCATTTCTGCCTCCTGCATGAGGAGTAGGACAGAACAGCTGTGCACACAACATACAAGTTCCTTGAAATTAATAGAAAACGTTCACATCTCAACTTTCAGGAGTCCACTGTGTTCTTGTTTGCTCAATGAGTACACCATGTACAACGGGAATGAGTCAGCTCTGTCCAACCTTCCTTAGGATGTTATAAAATGCGGCATAATGTTAATTAGCAGCAGTCAGTGCTCTTTAAGACTCACACTGGTGTGTTTCATCACAAGCACATTACAAAATAAATAGGATGTTTATTTTTATCACCACACCTTCAAAGTCATCAATGGTATCGGAGGCAGCCTGCCGGTAAGAAACTCCCAAAGCAAATGATACGAGGATCTCTCTACAGGCTTATCATTTGGTCAACCTAAACATGCTACCACAAGTTTAGAGGATCTTTTTGAAAATTCTCCACCTTTGTTATATAAGTAGGTACTATGGTCTTTATTTTACAGCTTGAAAAACTGAGATGCCATGAAGTTAAGTGACTTTAACAGGGTCAATGATAAAGACAGAACTATAATCCAAGTTTCTTTCCACTACATGTTGTTATTTTCACATATCTCCAATGCCCCAGGAAAATAAAATGCCTCTAAACCACCCACCATTTTTTTAAAAATGACCAAAAACAATGCATCCAGTTGGATATAATACAACTGATTCTAGGAAGTTGATCCAATCTTACTATTAGTAATATGTAAGATGAAAATAACTAACTTGTCATCTCAGTAGCGTAACCTCCATCACCACTAAAGATAAGAACTAATCTGTCAGAAAATTGACCCCATCTAAGTATGAAGGCAATGGGAAGAGCTTCAGGTCAGACGTCTGGGTTCTAGGCTAATTCTGGCTCTAATTATCTGTGTGACTTTGGATAAATTCCTTATGTCTCTAGAGTTCCAGTTTTATCATCTATAAAATAAGGGTGTTGGGTTAAATGTAACTGGCAGAATGTTGAAGTTATCATATTTACTAATCAATAGTTGATTCATTGGAGGCATTCATCTCTTTAGCGATGGTTTATTAGCATAAACACTGAGCAGTAGAAGGTAAGAGTGCTAAGACTAATAAGGTTTACAGTAGTGTTCTATACAATAAAATATGGAAACTATTCTCATGAGTAAGCTGCAGTAAAATACATGGTTGCACCAATGAGTGTCGCAGAGCTTTATCAAAGTTAAAATTAAGGATTGTGACATCTATTCATAGGGCTAATTGAACTGTCCCATCACTGCAATTTTCTTACTATAAGAATAACAGATTTTCTTTTTGTGATTAGTGCATCCTATGCGTCCTGGAAACTAAGAAGGAGCAGCCTCACCGAGATCATCCCATGTCTTGAAGACACTTCAGTTGTACGGGAAAAGCCAGCCAATCTGACCACTCACTTCAGGAAGACAGAGGATAGAGGGACTGCCTTTCCTCATTTTCCACACATAGTCCTCAGAATGTATTTTTTATGACTACTTTTCCCTCTTAAAGACTTTCCATGAAATTTATTTAAACCTGGTTTTATCTGACCCCTGTTCCAAAATACTGTGGGTTTTTTTTTCCTTTTGTAATTGCCATTTAAAGTAATCAAAAATTCCTTAAGAAAGAAATTTCAACTTTCTATAACTTTATAAATATGGAGCAAATATATCTGCTTATCTTGAATTTTGATGAATGTCCTTTTTAACACTTTACTTACCTCAGGAGAAAGGAGTTATCCGATTTCTCAGAAGTTCCTTGAGAAAGACCATTAAATGAAAAACAGATCCTTACTACTGCCCTAGAGAAAGAAAGATAATTTCAGATGACTAGAAAAATAACCTTTTAGCTTTTGTTAAGAATTCTAAACAATTCATTATTTTACCACCACATACCATTTTGTATTCAACCTCAAATAGAGCAGAACAAATTTTCAGAATTCTAGACTACTATTCTAAGAATTTGAGAGGCAACTGTGGTGTGTTTCCCTCAAGACTGTTCAAAGTATGGGTTATTCCATAATATAGTAAGTATAATATCAAGGTTTTCTATGACCAGCCTAGTTTAAAAGACTCTGCCCCACTCTATAAATAAATAAACTTCTGCCTATCAGAACTGGTCTAGATGTAAGGATCATGATAACCACCGACCACAGGGAAAATGTCTTCCATTAGAAATACTCTAACCCTCCCACACAGTAACATAAAGAATTTATACTGAAATAATATACTAATAATTCTTTATAATATTTTTAACTTTTTCAGGAATATAAAAATCAGAAATGGCATTTTTAATTCATGCAGTTGTCTCCCTTTTGATATTGGTTTGCTAATCTCAAATGGCTTACACATACAAAGTGAAGGTGTCTTAATGCTGTATAAATATACTAGGTGACTCTATACACTCCCCAAGTCTAAGCTAACATATCTATGCAGATAACTCTTGAATCTACAATTCTACTCGTCTCTACTTTTTCTTTGATCTGTCTTCTGAATTTCAGACCTATATTTTCAGCTGACATATCCAAATGACATTTCAAATTCAACAGCCATACCACCTAATTGTCCAAGAGAAACACTTTAGAGTTATTTCTTCCATACCCCAAGTAGTTCGTTGGTCACCAAATTTTTTTTTAAGATTGTATTTATTTATTTATTTGTCAGAGAGCGAGAGAGTGTACAAGCAGGGGGAGCAGCAGAGGGAGAGGGAGAAGCAGGCTCCCAAGGAGCAGGGAGCCCGATGCGGGACTCGATCCCAGGACTCTGGGATCATGACCTGAGCCAAAGGCAGATGCTTAACCGACTGAGCCACCCAGGTGTCCCAGTCACCAAATTTTTAAAAGCATTCAAAACATTCAGGGTCACCTGGATGCCTCAGTCAGTTAAGCGTCAGACTCTTGATTTCAGCTCAGGTCATGACATCAGGGTCATTAGTTCAAGCCCTGCATCAGGCTTCATGCTGGGTGTGGAGCCTGCTAAGATTCTCTCTCTCCCTCTCTCTCTCTATCCCTCCCCCCATGCTTGCACACTCTCTCTCTCTGTAAAAAAAAACTTAAAAATAAAATAAAACATAAAAATGTTCAAACCAAAGCCTCTCAAACCAAATTATTATTGCAGTCAGCATAGGAGAGCGGTCCAGTATATGGATTTTGATGTCAGACAGAGCTGCGTTTTAATCACCACTCTGCCACTGCTCAATCTCTGTAAAGCTCAGTTTTAACCAGACGATGGGGATAAGAAAACTTATCCCATACAGTTGTGTGAGGATTTATAAATGTAACACGTGCTAAGGAATTAGCACGATCCCCAGTTCAAAGTAAGATCATCATCTCTCCCTTTTCTAGACTGTAATAAAAGACTACTAGTGGTCTTTCTGTTTTCTCTCTCCTTTTATTCCCTCCTCCATAATCTACACTACTTCACAATGAAGACATAATTGCAGTATTCTTTTAATTAAAAGCTTCCTGGTTACCAAATGAAAACACAACTTTGTATTGGAGGAATAAAGCTGCCATCACTACATCTAATGGTCAACCTTGGCACCACAAACGGTGATGAAATCTGACATGTATTATCTCTTGATGAGATAAAATATGAGGAACTCACATTATATGTTTTATATCAGAGCAAAAGAAATGTTTCACTGGAATCTACTCAAGTCTGTAGGTCTAATTTACACACTACAGGAAATACAGAGTACCAAGCTAAACAACAACAAATCAGACAAACTGAGAAGGTAGAACATGAATAATTGGGCTGGTCTATTTATCAAGTTAGTGACACAAAAAAATAAGAGGGAAAGAGGGGACTATTCTAAATTAAAAGAGGTCAAGGACCTGCAGATGTAATGATGGTCCTGGACTGCATTCTGGTTTTGACAAACCAGCTATAAAGACATTTGGGGGACAACTGGAAATTTTTAATATAGCCTGAATAATAGACAATGTTAAGTAATTATTATTAACTATTAAATATTTGATATTGTTATTTGCTTACATAGAAAATGTTATTTTTTAGAGAAAGAGACTATATCATTTAGGCCTGGAATCATGATATTGGCAGTTTAAAGTACTTCAGTAATTAAAAACAGTAAAGTTTTAAAAACCCACGATTTTGAGTACATTACTACTGTTTATACAACAGTATAAAAAATAGAAAATAGAAATAAAAATATAATGGAATAGAAATATAATGTCTAATAATATTATCACTTGAACATATAAGCCATATAAAAAGTTATTAGTGAGTTGGCTAATTTTCTTTTTTTCATACTAAGTTTTCAAAATCCAATGTGTGTTTTATACATACAGCACATCTCAGTTTGGGGTAGCCACCTTTCAAGTGGCCAATAGCCATGTATAGCTATTGTCTTCAGGACTAGACTGTGTGGGACTATATAAGGCAAAGTTCAAATTCCTCTAGAATGGCATAAAATGCTCTTCTTAGTCTTCTCCTAGGCTGTATTTCCAGCCCCATCTCCTGTCATTTATCCTATACTTCACTTCAGCCATTCCCTAACATGCCCGGCTCATTCACCCATAGACTTTTACATAGAACACATCTCTCCAGCAGAACTGAGCCCTCTGCTTTTCCTAGTCTGAGCAACCTCAACTCATTTGACAACAAAGATGTTCCTTTTATTACATCTTATCATGGTACCTGCAATTTTTATAAGTACTTGTTACTTTCTGAATCTGGCTAAATAGTGAGCTTTTTAATAGGAGAAACTGCCATAATCATTCTTTTTAATTTAAATGCCATAATCATTTTTGTACTGTCAGCATGTTTGATGGAAGAAGGGGGGAAGGAAGGAAGGAAAGAAGGAAGGAAGGAATGGATGGAGAGAAGGAGGGAGGGAGACATAACTTCACACAGCAGGCTTTCCTTTTTATCAATAATCTGAGGCTTTTTGTTTTTTCCAGCTCTTCATAATTTTATTCCTATCTTACATAACCACAAAAACAGGACACAAATACTTTTTAAATCAGAAATACCAGAATTAGGACATCAAAATAAAGCACTGGCACTTTGAATGCTGAAATGAGGATCAGAGTAGCTCTAAAGAATAAATAATTTGTGTATGTGTTGAGGGGGGGGATAATCTTTTTTTTTTTCTCTTTTCATTTTGTTTTTTAGAATAAAATAATGACTAGCTGTGTGTTGTTTGTGGACTTGTGCAAGTCAATTAATTTAGGCCTCAGTGTACTATTTTATAAAATGAGGAGGTTGAATTTGGTGATCACTAAAATTCGTTTCACCTTTAACACTTTATGGTTTTAGAGTTTCTCTATACCTATATATGAAACATTCATGACTTCATAAAAAAATTCATTATAATACTACTTTATGGGTAAAGAGAGGGGGAATTGAGTGAAAGTGATGTTGCTTCCAGGGCCAGAAGGAAAAAACTGGGTTTGGGCTACAGAATTCCTTGCAACATTGCAGGTTGTTATCATTATCTTTTCTCTCTAAGCCCACTCCCAGTTTTTGGCTAATATCTTCCACCCACTATATCATGAAACATTTCCATGGCACAATATGGCATCATTAATCTCTAAGACACACAGCTAAGGTGAGACACTGGGTTTCTAAGACAGCAGAGACTTTTCACAGTGTTCCCTAGGCCTTTATGAAACCAGATATCCAGTGAGCAGTGAATTAAGATATTTACTGTGAACGATAGGCAATTAAAGTTACTACAGAAACAGACTCACAAACACAGGGAATAAAACTGGTGGTTGCTACAGGGAAGGGAGAGGGAGGATGGTACAAACTCCCAGTTATAAAATAAGTCATGGGGATGAAAGTACAGCATAGAGAATATAGGCAATAATATTGTAATAACATTGTACGGTGACAGATGGTGACTACACTTATCATGGTAAGTGTTGAGTAATGTATAGAATTGTTGAAACAATATGTTGGACACAGACAATTAATATAACATTGTATGTCAATTACACTTCAATAATAACAAATTAATTAAAAGATGTTTAAGTAATACAAATAAAGGTACTGCAAAATAAGTTTGGTCACTGGATTTTTTGTTGGCTTTCTTTAAAGTTGTTTGTTTGTTGTTTTTATATGTCTCTATTTTGATCATGCTTCCTGAAAGCAGCTGCTAGTTACACAGAATCTCTGTTCTAGTAAAGTGAGGAGGATTCGGGTAAAATCTTGGTAACACTGGTATGATAGGTCTGCAGCGCAGTAAGATCTGTTCTGATAATATATATCTGTATTTGTAAGAATCCCTTGTTGAAAAAAGTCACTTTTTTTTTTCTTTTAGTGAGGAAAAAATGACTAGAGGCCAGAGCAGTGTTTCTCAATGTGTGGTTTGGGGTTTACCTACATAAGAATTGTTTGAGGAACTCCGTAAAAAGGCGAATTCCTGAACCCTACTCCAGACCTGCTGAATCAGAATCCTTTGTATGAGACCTGGAAATCCTGGTTTTTATCAATCGCCCCAGATGATTCTAGGGACTGGGCTAAAGATCATCCAAGCAAAAGCATGGGTTCCTATAGGAATTTCTGGAATGGGTGGTAAAAAAATAACTCTTGTGTTATTAGTTTTTGGTTTTTTGAAGAAATTGGTTGCTCAAAGCTAACAAAAACAAATCAAAATAATTTTTCCTTTGTCCTTTGATTCAAGTACTCATGGGTCTTTGGCCTTGCCCTGGCCATATTACTGTAGTACAGTATCATCAGTAAAGAGAAAAATAAAAGACTAACAAGCTACCAGCTACTCTCTAAAATGGATCTTGTTCCCATAGTTCGTGTATAGAAGCTTTCTTTTTCATCCTTG